AACTCCTTCACTTTCACATGCAGTCATTTCCTTTCTTAATGTTTTCTTATAATCTTTCTCTTTTTTTTGTATTTATGCTCTAGGTTTTCATATCTTGCTGGATTTGCATCTATAATTCATTCTGTAATGTCAAATCACTTTTCATTGACTATGAATCTGAGTTATTTTCTACTATATTATCTACGTTTTCTTTAAAGCTATCATTTTGAACAAATCTTTCTAAAATGTTTTTCATTTCTAGTCTTACAACTTTTTTTTCGGTATAGTAAATGTATCATCAGTTCGTCTTGTATCATCATCATATTTTTTTTATTCTGTAAGTCTATTAATATTCCTGTTTTCATTTTGAATTGGTTTCAAAAGTGATATGTTTGTTTTAGAACTTGTAGACTAGTACCTGCAATGCAACAAAAATAGTTACATACTTACAATTTAAAACGTTCTTTCGGCCACTATGTAAGAAGAAAGTCGTATTATAAAGAAAAATTTGAAGTATGGATCGTTACTCTCAATTCATTTCTAAGTCTAAATATCTACTTCAATCATTCTCCTACTCGTAAATGCAACATAAACATAATTCCTCTATCAATTGAACAATAAGAATGTCTACATGTGAAGCGGGTGAGTCAGCGTCGAACGACTCGTACACACCACGCATTTAAGTACCTACTCTTGCAACAACGCGAGTATTTTTTCAAGAAATCGGCTTCATGTATTTTTTTAATTTACCGGATCCGGTAGACGTCTAATAATGCCGGATCCGCAGGATTACCGGATCCGGTTTTCCGGATTGCAATCACTTCTTCCTATCTTTCAGACTATTGGGTTGAAAAAAAAGTTATGCAAGTGCGTCGGACGGTAGTCGAACCCGGGTCAACTGTTGGGGAAACAGCTTTTCTGACCGTTGAACAACTGACGCGCGAAAGAACTTCAGAATTGATAGTATAAATCTCATACTTGGCTTCATTAATAAATATTTAATTCAGAGAAGGAGCATTTAATATTTTCGCTTCCTATCTTGCAGGCGATTGGATTGAAATAAAAGTTATGCAATTGCGTCTGTCGGGAGTGGAAACCGGATCAACTGTTTGGGAAACAGCTAGTATGACCGTTGAACTACCGGCGCGCGTAAGAACGTCCGAATTGATAGTAAAAATCTCATATTACTCTCATTTTGTTTTATATTTTATCGCGAGATGGAGCAATTAAAATTTTCGCTTCCTATCTTGCTCTCCATTGGGCTGAAATAAAATTCATGCAATTGCGTCGGACGGGAGTCCAACACGGGTCAACTGTATGGAAAACAACTATTCTGACCGTTGAACTACCGGCGCGCGAAAGAGCTTCAGAATTGATAGTAAAAATCTCATATTTTTCTTATTTTGTTTTATAATTTTACACGAGAAGTTGCAATTAAAATTTTCGCTTCCTATTAGGAATTGCAATCCGGCACAAATTTGAATCCTGTCAGATCCGGCCGGATTCCTATCAATCCGTCCGGATTCGGCCGGATTGGACACATCAAAGCTATTTTGCTTTTTCAATCCAAAATCAACTGTATAAAAGATGATAGACTGAGTGTATTACTAAGTTTATAAAAAAAGCGTTAATTTCTTATGAAATAAACTTTATTTACACTGTTATAATTAACAACATTTAATTGAATCAAAAATAAAAATTTAGTACATTGTAACTTGTTAAATTATAATTGTTATGTTAGTTTATTAATAATTAGATAATGAATTGAGGTTAAGTTCAGTCTCACTTACTAGATTTCACATATGACATTAATGATAACTTGTAATGTAACTTATATTATGTAAGTAACTTATATTAAATCTAACTAAATCAAGCTTATCATCTGAGATCACAATAATTAGGTATTTTAGACACACCAAGCAGTCTCATTCTTATAATTATGACAGCCATCATGAATCTGTTTAATCAATGGCACAATTATACAATAACCAGTTTAAAACTTCTTCGTATTTTTTAATATACTTACTTTAAATTATTATTTGAAGTAAAATAATTTTAAAAAATTGACTTTGGTTTTGAAACAATTATCGTAGGACACAAAAAGTGTTAATTGTGTCATCTGTCAATCGACTTCTTACAGAGCTACAAATATAACCAGCGGCCTCTAGAAAGCCCTTTCTGCTTCTACACTTGTTGGTTTTATTGTCAACA